AGAGGATCATCTATTAATCCAAATGCTGACAGTCATTCATTTCCATTACAAAAACAGCCATACTCTATAACAGGATCCTGGCTGCAACTAGATGAGCATTTTCAATGGAGCAGGAAAGCAAATGACTCTCAACCCTCTCTACATTCCTGTTTATGGTATGAGTCTTTACCGGTGTTCCATGCTAATGACTTTGAGCCCCAAACTAAGGACATCAAAATGAGATGACACAATAAAGGCGTCTCATTCATTCTCTCATTCAGCCAGTACTCAGCAGAAACCACAGAGCTGGGCACAGTAGCAAACACAGATCAATCTTTGGGAGGTTTAACTTCTAGCAGGGGATAGGAGACATGTCAGTAGCAATCATGCATTGCAAAATGGATAAATGCTTAAAAAAACCATAGGAGGCAGTAGACCCAAGGACGAGGGAGTAATTACTCTGGTCAGTGCAATCCTGGTGACTTGATGAAGCGGGTGTTTGAACGGACGCTCAGTGTAAGAAGTAGGACACATGGCGATGGGATGTCCAGCGGGAGGAGTTCATAGAGCTGGGAGATGCGAGATTGGGAGCAAGTGTTCCTTTGGCCTGAGCACCAGCTGTGCATGGTCTCAGCAGGAATGAAAGCGGGAGGAAGCTAAGGTCCTGCTGTCCTGCCGAGCAGTAGACGGTGCACAGCAGATGTAAGAGCGGCTTTGAACAGGGCCTGGAATGATCTGAGAGGAAGGCTTAAGGCGATTCCTCTTGGCAGAGGTAGATACAATGGAAAGACATTGGAAATCATTCAGAAGGCAATTGCAGTGGTGTAGGGCGGGGGCCGTGAGAGGCTGAAAGAAGAGTGGACACCACATGGAACAGAAAATGAAAGAGCAGATTCAAGAGATCTTCGTCAAAGGCTCTCAAGTTGCTCACTTTTTTCCAGAAGCAAGAAGTAAAGCAGGGTTTTTTCACACCTTCCACCCCCCCACACACACACACACACTCCTAGCTAGATCACATTTGCCATTTTTTGCAGATAGATAACATTTTTATTACATAACTGAAGTATTTAGCAAGACCAAAATTGTCCTGAAATGCTCTCTGGGAGCTTTCAAATGTACTTTCATTTCTGGCTAATGTGACTTAAAACTTTCCCTTAGTCTTTCTAGTACAACATTTAGTTGGAAGAGTAATATGTACACAAAGTAAAGCTGCAAGCGGTACTCAATGGTACCCAGATCAGAAGCTCCCCCGCCTTTAAAAGCCTCTGTCCGGTACAGAGGAATGGCTGCTCTCTGTTTCTAAGCTGTGGTTGAAAAAATGGCATTTAAAATCCTATAGACACACACAAATAAATCCATAAATAAAATTCTACATACAAATGCATGGTCTCCTTGTCTGTCATTTGATTCAATGCACCCCATTCAACCTTGAGAGGGTTTTCCCTCTCTGTGACCACGGTGCTTTTCCCCGAGTACACGCTTTCTCTACCTTGGCATTATTGATATCTGAGGCTGGATAACTGTTTGCTGTAGGGGGCTGCCCAGTGCATTGTGGGATGCTTAGCAACATCCTGGCCCCAACCTACTAGATGTCAGTATCACCCCCCATTGTGACCATCCAAACAGCCTCAGGCATTGCCAGAGGTGTCCTGGGGGACAAAATTGTCCTGGTTGTGACAACGATTCTAAAACAGAAATCATGTTTCCAGCATTCTTCCTTTCATTAAATCCAGCCGGGTCATAGGACATCTTTCTCTTTTACAAGTCTGTATGTCCCTTCAGGGTAGTCATGGTACCTTAATCCTTTCTTCACTTTTATGACACACTACTTTGCTTTTACCATCTGCCAGAAAGGGAGTCCTGGCAGTTTGCTGGTTATGGGTTGGGCTCCTGTATGCAAAATCCACAGTTTGAAACCACCAGCTGCTCTGTGGGAGCAAGACGGGGTTTCTCCTCCCGTAAACAGCGAACAGTCTCAGAAACCCACAGGGCAGTCCTACCCTGTCCTATAGGGTCACTCCGAGTCAGCAGCAACTCGATGGCCCTGAGGTGTTTTTTTTTCTTCTTCTTTTTTTTAACATTTTATTAGGGGCTCACACAACTGTTATCCCAATCCATACACACATCAATTGTGTAAAGCGCATTTGTACATCGTTCCTCAAAACATTTTCTCTCCATTTAAACCCCCGACATTAGGTCCTCATTTTCCCCCTCCCTCCCTGCTCCCCTCTCCCGCATGAGCCCTTGATAGTTTATAAATGGGTATTTTCTCATATCTTGAGGTGTTTTTTTTAATAAAAGTCATACGCAGGGCATAGGAGATAATTAGTGTTATAGATCTTAAACACCATGAGATTCTCATCGAAGTAGAATGTAATAACCAAAGACATACAAACAATTTTGCTGGATACTCGTGTTATAGACAGACACATGAATCATCAAGGCAAAAAACTAGACAGGTGAAAAGGATACCAATCATGCCAGCTGCTGAAATAAATGGTGCAGAGAAGGAATAAAAGAATGCTATAGGAGTTAAAGGAAGCAGAGAAGCAATTTTTATAGTGGTGTTGATAGACAGGTGTTGGATGGCTGGTTCATAAGTTAATATATATATGCAGGAGAAAGAAAGAGAGCGAGAAGATGGGGAAGAGGAGGAGGAGAGGGAGGCAGAAAGGGTTGAAGGAGAGGGCAGAGGGAGAGGGAGAAAGGGGGAGGAAGAGGGGGTGCATAAGGGGGAGAGAGAGAGGGAGAAACACTGATTGAGGTGGATAGTATGCTGGGGCTACCGGGATTCTGACAAAATTAGCATGTGTAATTTCATAATCAAAGAATTTACACAGAAAGCTTGAGAAGCTTGCTTTAGCTCTTTCTTCTTGTGATCCCAAAGACCTGAATTGGTGGTATTTGAAGATGGCCAAACCTGAATTTCTTACTGGTGTATTCAGGAGGACAATATTCTAAGAAGTATAACAATATACCCGAATAAATCTTTTTTCTGTTTCTCCTTTTTCATTTGCCCTTTAACAAACATTTACTCTGCGCCAATTATGTGTCAGCCCAGAGTGAGGCACTGAAAATGCATTATGTGGGCAGGACTTTGAGACAGATCCAATTCTGGATCTGGAACAGATAGTTTGCATATGATGGTATGAACTCTCTGGAAGATCCCAGCATATTTAAATCCCCAGTCTCTATTCCTAACACACATTACGCTCTCTAGCTTCCGTAGCGTAGCCCTGAGTCAGAACTGACTTCATGGCAGTGCGTTTGGTTGGTTTGAGGCTCTATCTCCAGTAAAGACATTTAAATATTACCTCGATGTCAGAATTATAAACTTCACCAACCACAGTAGCTGATTTATCACAGGACTGAGAGGAAGCAGTATTCTGTGGTGTGAAATAACTGCCTACGGATTTGGGTGAGACAGTGAGAAACTGTAATCAAACTGAAAATTTGAGTCATGGTAAGAAAACAGAATGTATTTCTACAGCTTGAATTTGGCCAATATGGTAAGACAGATTCTCTCAATTTCTAAAGATGGGGGCATAAGAACTTTAAAGGATACGGTGCTTGAGCTAGGAAGATATTTCTACCGCAGGTACAAGCGTATCAATACCAATAGGATCCCCCTCAGTTCTTTTTGAAATCCTACTGAGGAGCTCCGAGCCTAGGAGCTTGCACGTGAACTATGAACACTTTTACACAGAGAGAAGCCCTCTATTCGGTGTGCCCAGGAACACTTGATGGGAGGCATTCGGAAAAACTCTGATCTCTGAAATATAAGCTCTCCAAACAAAGGGTAGAAGGTTTGGTACCAAAACATTAGTAACATCTCCTTGTTAGGAGCTGACTGTTGTTTAGAAAATAACCAACCCAATCTTAAATCTAGGAGGCTCTGGCCTTTTTTATGACAGACCCCTGGAGAATTTGTTGAAAGCTATCAACGTATCATGTTCCCCCATTTGTGTGTCTGCTTCTCCTCCTCTCTCTCTCTCTCTCTCACACACACACACACACACACACACACACACACACACACACACATGCACACACCCTCCTTGAATTCAATCGAGTTAATCTATGAGTTTTCACGCTCCAAGTTTAGGAGCTATCGCTTCAGTTCTCTTTAAAGGGAAAATAAAGGTCAATCAACTGCATGTAAAGAGCACTTGGCTATTGTTTCTTTCGTCTTAATATATTCCTGACTTCAGCTCATCAGAAAACACTTTCTGTCCCGTCCCCCCCCAACAATTAACTGCTCCTTGGGGGAAGATGCATCTCGACTTTCATAAAGATTGGCAACCTTGGAAACTGTACGGGCAGTTCTACTCTGTCCTATAGGGTTACTTTCAGTCAGAATTGACTCAGTGGCAATGTTTATAAAAATGATTAAAAAACTATTACATTAGCTTACTAGTGATGTATTTCAATGATATATTTCTTCAGGTTAGCTGCATAAAAGTATTTCCAAAATATTTACATGCTCCAAATGTTCATATCAACACTATTTATTTATTTATTTATTTATTTATTACCCTGATCTTACTAGAGTTATTGATCCAAATGATCCAACTGAATTTTGTTCTTGGTATATTTAAAATAAATTATACAACACCCAAGGTGTCAAACATTTTTTGAAGCAACTTCTTCAAAACTGCCATATGTTATGAAGGCTAAGGAAAGTTTTATGTCAGTTCACTGGAAATTTTTTATTCCTTTAAAAAAAGGTATCCAGTTATTACAGTAGACACTCATTTATCCTCTTCTCCCTATATAATCATTACAGAATTAGATATTAAATAAAAACATTTATTGATTATTCTATAAAGCATAATGTGTTGATCAGGCTAATGTAAACATAAAGTTATGAGAATATTATAATTTTCTATTTAGAAATTGAATATATATTTTTATAGGTAATAACTATATTTTATCTCAATATCTTATAAAAAAATAAAGAATTCAACATCATTGTCTTAAAAAGTTGTATGAAATGCATTTCTAAGTCGTTCATTTCTTACCAGACAGGGCTGTCAAATTTGCATTTTTAATGAAAACTTCAGTTATTCCAAGAGCCTTCAAAACATCTTTTAAATCGAGTTCCTGTTCCACTGTGAACCTGGAGAACATATATGGGGAGCGCATTAGTCACAGCAATTTAAGTATCAATCACTTAGAACAAGAATATAATGTTACATGGGATGATTTTAAAAGTGGTATTTTATAGTCAGTAAACCATGAAAAGACAGAAACTGTCTTTTCACTGCAAGTAACATTTGATTGTGCTTATGAAAAAAGGGAGCAGCAAAGAGAATGCTGAATCAAAATAAAATTAAATTTGTAAGTAAAAAATATATAGGACATAATCACCCAACAGAAATAGATGATAGAACAGATGGGTTTCAAAATCAAGAATTGTTCCTCTACAACTATGTGAGACTTGTAAAGAAGTTGCCTTCAAACGCATTTTACCTAGCAAATAATATATTTTATTTCTTAAGCTGGCAGTGCTACATGTAACCAAGGTATTTCAGTCTCCTCTTAGGGGCAGTTCTTCTCTGTCCTACAGAGTTGCTCTGAGTCGGGACTGAAAAGTTGGCAAAGCATTGTTTCTTAGTATCTGGTCAATTTATCCTGCCCTCACCCAAAAAACCTCAAACCACGCTGTCTGACATAGGGTAGATCGTGCCCATCGGGCCCTCAGGTACAGGGTTTCCAAGGTTGTAAATCTTTGCAGTCAGCTTCCTGTTTTTTCTTTCTCCTGTGGAGCAACTGGTGGGTTTGAACCTCCAACCTTGTGGTTAGCAGTGCAACACTTGCTTACGATGCCATCAGACATCCTATTCCTGGCCCCATCAGAAGGCTGAAATCAAGGTTATGTTCTACTTGAATGGGATTGTTTCAAATCTCAATAGCCGTCCAACTCAGTGAAAGAAACACACATCTGCATGGTGTTCTTAATCTCACGGGAAAGCTGGTTCTAAGGGTAACATCGCAGAAAAAGTGTTGTCTATTCCAAGTGAGCAGCATATACTGTATATTTAAGATTATTCACTTTTATAATTAGAGATTTTTAAAAATCATTTTATTGGGGGCTGAGATTTTTTTAAAACAAAAGAATAATAAGATGTTAAGTTTGTCTAAGGAATCTCATTCATTGTTGTCCCAAAAGATCCACCACTTGTATAACAAAGAATAAACATTATTTTAAAGATTTGAATGAAAGTCAGATCTAGAAGTACAATAGTCATCAATGGAACATTCCTTCGGAGATTTCCACAGAAAGCACGTTTGGTCCCGTAGAAGAATGTCACCCACATCACTGGATTACACTCTCACTCTTTAGTGAAAGGTATGGATCAAACATGACTTCATTAACCAACAAATACATTAAAACAATAAAAATATTGCTTATTTTAATTGAAAATAACTGGCTAAAATGAAGTATTTTAAGTTATCACTTCCAGAACAATACAGATTATACATTTGATTTTTCAGAAAATAGGCTAGGTTCTTATAAGGGCTAAGTCTGTAATAGAGCTACATTACAGAGCATTATTTCTGGTGTTTGGTTTCAAGATAAATGAGAAGGAAGTGATTATTTATGTGGCACTTACTGTATACCAGGTAATCTATAACCCTTAGAGGTAGCTATCATTACTACCCACACATATGGAAGAATCTCAGACACAGAAAGATGGAACAACTTGACTACATACATGACAAAGCAGAGAGAGAGCCGCGTACTCTAAGTATGTCTTGATTACCAAAATAGGAAAGTGAAGGAAGATATTCCAAGAGGTTTCTTTTTACATCTTAAAAGCAACTTGGTTTGTTTCACACTTTTGAGACTGGTGTGGTCAGATGAGGATGACTAATAAAGCAAGATGAATTTAGCAAATTCCTTAATCTGACCTTTGGCTTTGGCATATGGAAAATGGCGATAATAATCTTCTTTCATGGTATTGTTGGAAGGATTAAATGAGGTTTCAAAAAGCTTCAGGGTTGTATTGGCACCCAAGAGGCAATGCAATCACGGGCAGATAACATTAATATTACTTATGATATTACTCTGAAGTATATCATGCCACATTGTTCTTAAGAACCCATGACCATGGAGTTAGTTTTGACTCATAGTGGCCTTACAAGATGCAGTAGAACTTCTCTAGATGGTTTTCCAGGCTGTCAATCTGTACAAAGGGAAATAGCCTCATCTTGCTCCCGCTGGGTGGCTGGTGGGTTTCAACTGCTGGCCTTTTGGTTAGCAGCCTACACTGTAAATCACTACACCACTAGAACATTGTATGGTTTTGTTTTAGTAATGTTGGAATGATCTGTATTAATCCCTGATGTTGAAAATAAGGAAAACCTCAATATGGTGTATTAACATAATAGTCAAAGCAATAGACTCAAACATAACCAATGATCTTAAAGATAGAGCAGAGAGCCAGGTAATTCTCATTCTGTTACATGAGCGCAAGTCAGAAAGTGTGCTACAAAATCATACAAATATAAAAAAAATCGTACAAATCTTTATTTAGTATCAAAATATGAAGCTATTTTTTCTCAACATATCACCTATCTACATCCTTTGAAGGCAATAGAGATCGACTTCTTGGCAATGCAGTATTTTAAAAACTTTCTCCAGAAGAATTCTATGTTCTTTCATCTGGACCACATCAAAATGCAGTCTAGGCATCCTTGAGGGTTTCAAATATGGTTCTTAGGAAATGTTCTTTGTATTTTGGGAACAAAAGGAAATCTGTAAGGACAAGAACAGGGCTGTAGGGCGGATGGGGTAAGGTTTCTCAACAAAATCATTATGGGGCACCCTTTGCTACATTTAAAGAAAGAGCAGGTACATTATTGTGGTGGGACAAATATTCTCAGTGCAACTTTCCTGACCTTTTGTTCGCCAGCGCAGTTTTTGGTTTCTGGAAGTTTCTTCCTAATATACTCTCATGATCTTATGTCTTTCAAGATCATCTCTCCAGGTGATCCGTTGGCAATCACTTAAACAGTCACTGTTACCTACTGATAATGATGAGGCTTTCGACTCACATGAACAGTTACAATCTCAGAACCCAGAGGGGAAGCTCTACCCTGTCCTCCAGGGACACTATGAGCCAGAGTGGATTCAATGGCAATGAGTTTTGGTTTATTAGCTACTGTGAGGCCTCTCTATCTTGAATTTAAGTGGCCAGCAGATCCTCTGGGAAGTCACAGTTTTGATTAGGTGTTAAAGCACCCTACCAAGACTAAAACAAATATTTTACTGAGAGAACTTGACTGTAGCCATCCATTTATCACAGAGACACATTCCTGCACATTTTGCTTGAAATTAACTTGTACATGTGGAACCTGGAACTAGTAGCAATGCTTTTTTGGGTGACCCTTACATGTAAGACTGCCTTGAGTTGGAATCAACTAACATCAATAATTCTACCCATGGATAGTCAAAAGTAGTGTCACAGTCTTTCTAATATTTGCATCATTTGACATAGGGCAAAACACACAGGCTGAAGTGAAACAGAATTGATGTAGCCATAAGATTTTTTTTTCAAAGTTCAAGACAGCATTCCATTAACTCTACTTGTTCATCCTTTATCCTTTATTCCTTATAAAATGATTTCCACAATGGGCTATTAACCATCCCTTAAACATTTTCTTATCAACAAGACTAACACTAATATGAATATTCATGAGCAATTCCTATTTATTGTATGCTTACTGTTACCCCGGCACAATGAAATCTCTTTATGTCTAGTGTCATATTTAATCATACCAATAAACCTATGAGATAGGTACTGTTTACAGAAGAGGAAATGGGGACTCAAAGCTAAGTAACTTGCTCTGATCACACAGCTATTAAGTGGCAGCCTAAGTGGTATGTGAATCTAGAGCTCTCTGATTTGAAAGCCCTCCACAAAATATTAACTACTAGAGCTCTAACAATAGATTTTAAAATAAAATAATAGTATAGGTAGCTTTTAACTTTCATCCATCAATTTTTAAAAAAACACATTTTTAAAGTCAAAGGCTTTCCTGATTTAGAAAAGGCATACAACATAATAATTATACATGTGCACATTTCTATCTGAATAGGTTAAAGAGATAGAGGGTAGAACAATGAAGAATGAGTAGTTGTGTGAAGGAAGTACCAGAAAAGAAAAAAAATATGTTAATTACAAAGATATTTATAACATTTTTAAATAATTAAGAAGGTAATCTAACTTTTGATTAGCTTTTCTTTGTAGAAACACCTAATAAAAAGGCACTCATAGAAAAATCAGATGGCTTATGGGTTGATTTTCTTATGGAAACATGAAACTGAGATGCTTTCTTAATACAGCAGGATGGTTTTTGGTTACAAAACAGAGATCCATTTCACATCCTTTTATTTCTAGAACTCTGATCACAAATGACAGAAGTCAAAATGGAAAGATCCCTCTATATTCAAAACACTCACATACTTGATTTTATTTCAGGAAAATCTCCTCTTATCTACACTATAACCAGTAAAGATGGAAAACTAAGAGTATGCAGTAAAGAGAAAAAATTAGAAAAGCCAGGTTTTTATATTTATTTATTATTAAATACTACTTAGAGAATATCACATATAAAGTTACTCATATGAATGCTAGAACTTAAAATGTACACTTAAAAATAAACAATAGTACTAATTGATAATACCTTTATCATGCTTGTTATGTGTCAAGCATTGTTATAAAGTGCTTTTCAGATTACATATATATGTGTATATGCATATATATATATATAAACATACCCAAACACACTGCCATAGAGTTTACTCTAACTCACGAGGACCCCATGCGACAGAGAAAAAACACTCCTGAGAATTCTGTATGGAATTAGATTTTCGCCATCTTTCTTCCATTGAGTGACTAGTGGATTCAAACTGCTTACTTTTTTGAATAAATAACTGAGGCATTTAACCACTATGTAACACCAGGATGCTCTATATATTTAATACAATACCCTACATACCAGCCTATTTACTTTTGCTATTAGAGCTCAAGTAGAAGAGAGAGTTGGCAATCTTATATAGTATAAATGTACAATTATGCATGGACCATGTGCCATTTTACTTAATTTGGA